CCCCCCCCCTTTTTTAGAAACCCCTGCCATAGCTAACCTTCATGTACCATAACACCGAATATAAAATAAAAATCCTTTCTTGCAACTCGGACTCCTGGATGTCAATGGTGCAATCCTGGGTTAAAATGGCTTATTGGTGTGTGGAGGGCAGATGGCTAGAATCCTTCAAGCTTATAGGAAGGCAACAACGGCTCAAATTACCTCCTGTTAACCAAGTTATGCAGAAGAGCATCTCTGTATCCACAACATGTTGAACCACACCAACTCCCACTTCTGAAGCATTTGAGTTTCCTTTTTTACTCTTACAGAGTATGTTTAACGGCACTGTTTTGTACTGTGTCTTTAATCTGTTGCAGGGAAGGTTGGAAATGACAGCATTTTTCTTGATGTTGTACATGAGATTAAATGCGATAATCAGCATATCTGAGAGAGTTTGTGTGGAAGAAATTAATGCCCATGAGCTTGAACAATTATAGCTATAAACAGATAAACAATCATTAGATTAATTTAAACACTGTCAATGTGAAGTCATCATTACACAAGAACAGCATTCTGCCCCTTATATGATCTTCTAAGGTTTATTTGCATTCATCCAGTGACTTAATGCCACCTTGTGGTCCCATTTGATATACTGATAGAGTATTGTCTCTAGAATGCCATTGTAGCAGATTTACTAAATGATAAGTGATACATGATAATATTGATAATAAGCTGATGCAGACTAATGAAGTAATAATGAAATAAGAACAGTGCCTTATGACTGATATATAGTGACAGTAAAATAGGATGTTTTCCTCAATACTTCAGAGCAATACAAGCTTCAACTTTTTTGCTCTTTACGATGCAATAAATTAAAGCAAGTAAGTCATGTTAAATACATGGCAGAATTAGAGTTGAGCAACTTCCAGGGTTAATATACCACATTAAACATTTTCTGGAAACATTGTGACATTTTCCTTAATAAAGGGAAATGCCGCTTTGAGGCTGTCACATGAGTGGATGTCTGCAGATGCATTGCACACATACTCACGCAATGTGTGAGTATGTGTGCTGTCCATAAACATTATATGAGCTGGTACAGGCCCATATATCACAAAGAGAGACATATGTTTAATTTTTTTTTGTTGCTAGGCGGATGCCTGGCACCTGGCAATGTTCAGGTGTCTAAAATAAACTCTGAATGTACCTCTACCTGTATACTCATATTAAATCTCTGGGTGCTCTCTGTGGGACGGGCAGGTAATGGCGAAGCTTCTTTCAGAAGGAGGAGGAGTGCAACATGGAGCCATTTCAGGTGACACAACCTCGCAGAGCTGTGAGGCCCCTGGTGATGAACCTGTACTCAAGGCCTCCTGCTGTTTCTGTTTAGAAGCGAATCTTCAAACGATGGAGTTTCCCTGTCTTAGCATAACAAAGAAAAACAAACAATCACACTGAAGTTCACTTCAGTAAAATGCTATTGTTAAAATGACAAAAAAATATGAATCTGTAACACATGTTTAAAATAGTATCCCACCTGGGGCTCTGTGGTAGAAGCCAAGATTTTTTTGCAGCCAAAGAATGATGTTAAACATAGTATAAATAGCTACTGGTAATACCATCAACACAGCGAGAAAAATGCATAAACCCATGGCGAGATGTGAAACAGCTGTAGGGAGTAATGGAGAGTAATCAGAACATTAACAACACACTAAGACACTTTTATTTGGTCAGAATGACGGTGACACCCTTTATTGAAAAACAAACAAAAAATACAGATTATTCTGCGATGATGATTCATACCTTTTTGCTTTAAGGTGATGGTGACAAAGCTTGTTTGGTAGTCAGATTGCAGTTTACAGGTATAATTGTTTGACAGATCCTCCTCTGACACTTGTCTGAAGACTAGAGATGCTGTCATATTGATTTCCTCTGTGCTGTTGACCCTGAAAATGATATGAACATCATCGAGGCAGCTCTAAAAGCAGAATTCAAAGCTGTGACAGATACAAAACATATCAGTTATATAGAAACTGTGTGCGAAATATTTACCATGTATAATTATAGAAAACGGGCAGAGTGCTATTTGTCTCCACAAATGAATCGCCGCTTAACCAGAACAAGTCATCAATGTCTGAAGATGTGACTGCTTTACAATCAATCACCACTGTAGAGTCTAGAAAAGCAGAGTTTACACAGATTTTATAACTGATTAACATTAAAGCTTTAGCCAAGAATGTGAAGGTATGTGGATGTAAACAATAACTCACCTAAATCTACCTCAAATTCTTGGTTGTTCTTTGGTAAAATGATCACTGGCGGTATAAACGGTTCTATTAAAGAAGAACAAACATAAAAAAAAATCTAAAACCTTTCAAAAAGAACAAATAAAGTTTTTGAAAATAAAATGTCACTAAACTTGTTTTATTACCACTTGGCTGTACATCAAGTTTCATCGACATATTTATTTATAAAAAGACTCAAAGTGTTCAACTGGCCATACCGTTTTGTTTTAGGGTGATGGTGACAAAGCTTGTTTCATAGTCAGATTGCAGTTTACAGGTATAATTGTTTGACAGATCCTCCTCTGACACTTGTCTGAAGACTAGAGATGCTGTCATGCTGATTTCCTCTGTGCTGTTGACCCTGAAAAGGAGATGAACAACATGATTGAGGCAGCTCTAAAAGCAGAATTCATAGTTGTGACGGATACATAAAACATACCAGTTACATATAATCTGTGTGTGAAATATTTACCATGTATAATTATAGAAAACGGGCAGAGTGCTATTTGTCTCCACAAATGAATCGCCGCTTAACCAGAACAAGTCATCAGTGTCCGAGGACGTTACTGCTTTACAATCAATCACCACTGTAGAGTCTAGAAAAGCAGAGTTTACACAGATTTTATTAATGATTAACATTAAAGCTTTAGCCAAGAGTGTGAAGGTGTATGAATATAGACAATAACTCACCTAAATCTACATCAAATTCTTGGTTTTTCTTTGGTGAAATGATCATTGGTGGTATAAAAGTTTCTATTAAAAAAGAAACAAAACAAAAAAAACGCCAAAATCTAAAACCTTTTGAAAAGCACACGTTAAAGTTTTTGAAAATAAAATGTCACTAAACTTGTTTTATTACCACTTGGCTGTACATCAAGTTTCATCGACATATTTATTTATAAAATGACTCAAAGTGTTCAACTGGCCATACCGTTTTGTTTTAGGGTGATGGTGACAAAGCTTGTTTCATAGTCAGATTGCAGTTTACAGGTATAATTGTTTGACAGATCCTCCTCTGACACTTGTCTGAAGACTAGAGATGCTGTCATGCTGATTTCCTCTGTGCTGTTGACCCTGAAACGGAGATGAACAACATGATTGAGGCAGCTCTAAAAGCAGAATTGATAGCTGTGACGTTTGTATAAAGCATATCAGTTAATAATAATGGATTGGATTTATATAGCGCTTTTCAAGGAACCCAAAGCGCTTTACAATACCACTATTCATTCACTGGTGGAGGTAAGCTACAGTTGTAGCCACAGCTGCCCTGGGTCAGACTGACCTAAGCGAGGCTGCCATATCGCGCCAACACCAGTAGGCAGTAGGGTAAAGTGTGTTGCCCAAGGACACAACTACCAGGACAGAGAGCCCAGGGATCGAACCGGCGACCTTCCGGTTACAGATGCAAGTCCCAACCCCCTGAGCCACGGTCGCCCCTACAGTTACATAATATGTGTGTGAAATATTTACCATGTATAATTATAGAAAACGGGCAGAGTGCTATTTGTCTCCACAAATGAATCGCCGCTTAACCAGAACAAGTCATCAGTGTCCGAGGACGTTACTGCTTTACAATCAATCACCACTGTTGAATCTAGAAAAAGCAGAGTTTACACAGATTTTATTAATGATTAACATTAAAGCTTTAGCCAAGAGTGTGAAGGTGTATGACTATAGACAATAACTCACCTAAATCTACATCAAATTCTTGGCTGTTCTCTGGTGAAATTATCACTGCTTTCTTAGTTATTTCTGCACAATTTTTTTAAAAAAAAGAAGAAAAAAGGCTGATATTTTGAAAAACACATATTAAAGTCTTTGAAAATAAAAATTTACAGAATGTGTTTTTCTTACTGCTTGGTTGGACATCAAGTTTCACCATAGAGGTCATGTTATATATTTGACCATCATACAGGTAAGACCAGGTGCAGGTATAGATGCCACTGTCCTCTTTTTTCACACTAGAGAAGTAGCCGTCTTTTGGAGATGGCTCGCCCTCCTACAACATAGCACATATGTTGTATATGGAAAAACAGTAAAACACTGCTTTGATCTCATTCACATAATCTGCTCTGTTTACCTTGTGACATGTAGTGCTGTTTCTGGTGATATTCCAGGTATCAAAGAGAATATTTTCATCATGGCAATATAAAGTGCAGGACTTATCTGTGTAACATGTTTTAGAGTCCTGGATCATTTTTCCAGACTCTTTGGACTCCACTGTGTATACTCTGAGGTTGATCCAGGAACGCCTGCTGGAATTACTGTCGAGAAAATAAAAAGTATATAAAGTATTTAATTTCTTTCTCTTTTTGAATCCATCAGTTCAATGTTGGATTAGTGCGATTCTTTAGTGATCCTGGCCATGCTGGTCATGTCCAGTGAAAACATACACATCTTTGACTCTCCACCTGCTCTATTTTTGCCAGCTCCACAGTCTCCAAAGCAAACATCATAGCAGGCCTCACTCCTATCTTGTAAAACCTTCCCCTTCACTCTTGCTATTCTCCTTCTGTCACACATCACCTGACACTAGTCTCCACCCGCTCCACCCTTCCTGTGCTCTCTCCTTTCCCTCTCTTGTGCATTGTCTATAGCTCTGAATTGTTAACTCCAGTTATTTAAACTCATCCAAGTTCATGACCTCAACTCCCTGCATCTTTGCTTTGCAGATGTTAGCATTTACGACAACCTAGCATCCTCAGTTGTGCTTTTGGATTCTTCTAACCTCAGATGATTGTCACATAGATGTTTCACACCATAATGCAACCTGGTTCAGGACAAAGATAAAAATCACTTTTCTGGTGCCGAAGGATGTTCAATAACAAGCTTTCAAAAATAACCACAAGATAAAAGTTGCTCTGGTATCCTGTAGTGTAGGAAATAGTACTTTATATCAGTGTGGGCACGACATCTATTCATAAATGAGGCCTGTGGCTTTGGTTGATGTCAGTCTTAGATAATTAAACCGTTAATGTGGGAATTGTATTAAATTTTACCGAAAAGAGCAGGAGTAATTCTCCTGATGGTTTACTGAAGCTCTGAGAATGACAAGGATTCTTCCATGAACCAGCACACCCATCTGCCTCTGCTCAGCTGATGTTGACATGTTGAAGAGTTTCATTTCATCCACGGTGTGACTGGTCCAGAACACCTCAGCATCTCCATCACTGTACCCTCTGTAAGAAGGGCACTGCAGTACCGCCATCTCACCTGACTTGACATGTACTTCCTGGAAACTCAGTGGGCACACACCTGTCAATGACATTCGTAAAGACATATGAAAAAAAAGCACCTTTGTTGACTAAAAGGATCAAATTTGTCCGATTAATTTAACTCCGGCTTCGCAGTGCAGTCACTAGCAGTATTCTACTTTTAGCATGAGCTGATGTCACAGATATCTTTAAATGCCACACCACAGAGTGCAGGCAGCACAGCTAACAAACACATCATAAAGCAGTTGCAGACTCATCCTTGTGAATGTACAACTAACCGTTATCCTGTGCACTTTTCTGTTTCCCTGTTCTTCTTTTCATTTTTTTTTGTTCATCACCAGAGGGATAAGTCCCTTTTGATGTCATATGAGCATCACTGTGATTTGGTGGAGAAACATAAGGAAGGTTCTTACTAGCAGGTAGACACAGGCTACAGCTTCATTGCAGCTTAGTTTTACATGGTAGAGCTTAGCTAGCCACAAACGAAGCCAAGTCATTTTATGCTAGATATATTTGAACTCGTCTCCCTCTAGTGGAAGCAGGAACATATTCATTATAGGTTTTGAAGGAATAAAGAAAGTCATTATAACATCTGCCCTGTTTTTCTTTTTATTTAATTCTTTTTTGTGTTCAGTGAGTGTTATGTCTACTGCATTTTAGAGATATCTGTTGAACCAATCAGTTTAATCTTCAGTTCAGTATGTTGGTGTACAGTTCTGTACCACTTTCTTCCAAATGAGTCCAGTGCTTATATTCAGGCAAAATTATTAATTGTCCTTTTAAAGCTAGGTGGTAAAGTACACAGTAAACCTTAGCTGAGCTATTAAACCATCAAGTATGTGACCTCCTGTGCTGGAATTCTAGCTATATGACTGGCCTATTAAAGGAACAGATTTATATACCCTTTGCTTAAGTTCTCTTCACCTATAAAATGTGAAGGTCTAAATCTTACCTGGCCAGAATAACAAAAGGACCAGAAGTATTTTTCCCTTCATATCGTCAGTCTGAGGAACACCTATGAAGACACATAGAGAAAGTGAAACTTTTCACTTCCCCAAGAAAGAAATAGTGACAAACATATCCACCCGAGGAAAAAAAAAACCATAATCACGAGCGAAAATGAGATCCTCGAGGGTAAAACTCAGGGGCGTGCACAAATAAGAGATCGCAGGCGCGAGAGTGCCTACTGTGAGCTTGGCACTGTCAGGTGTCTGCCTGGGAGCAGAATGCTTCGCGCGAATCAACTGAGCCGTGTGGAGGGCGAGGCCTAAAGGAAGAGGTCCTAATGTGATTGGTCACTTTGGTGGCCATTTCAGGTCAGTTCCTTTAATCCTGTCACACCCAGGCTGCAACAAAAACCTGTTTTAAACCGTATTTGTGCACCTTTTATGAAAATACAATTTGCAGAATTCATTATCAACAGTTATTATTTGCGGTGTAGCAGTGGATATACCGACAATTGTCCCTATGGTGAATGATTTGTGTGTGTGTTTTGTTCGAAACGTTAGACAGAGATATGATTCCACCCACATATCTCTTTGTTTGTAAGCACAGCTTGCCCGGATTGTGTGTTGTTTGTTTGTGTGTGTGTGTGTGTGTGTGTGTGTGTGTGTGTGTGTGTGTGTGTGTGTGTGTGAGAGAGAGAGAGAGAGAGAGAGAGAGAGAGCTTTACTTGGGACAAAGTGGCCATAAAGGGCTTTAGAACATGTGCAGCACCTAATATGTGTGAAGTGCAGAGTCCTGTAGGTAATTATATGGTAATGGGAAGTTTGAAGATTGTTCCAGAAACGTATTACTTTGAATGCATACAAAAACTGGACGTGGTCAGTCCCATACAAACAAATCTGCATTAGCAGCCTGGCCAGTGAATAAAGTTGCTTCACACTGACATGAATACTTTAAAAAATGCAGCTCTCAGTCCAGTAACACAGTGGTAATGCAAAACTTTTTTTTTTCTTTTTCTTTCTTTTTTTTTTTTTTTGCAGTGTTTGTGATTTGATAAGCTTCAGAACTAAGACATCAGCTTTCATATCCTTTTACTTTCAGGATGTGAAAGTGACCTCTGCAGTAACATCCCTGCTTCTGCCAACTGGTTTTTGGTGGTTTTTTCCTTCGAAAACCAAAAGAATATGAAAATACCATCACAAGTAAGAGCAATAAATTCAGATAAGGATGCCTTTCAAATCATCTGTGATTAACAAATAACTAAAGATACAAAAAAAAAATATGCTTAGATGGGAACACTTAGAAATAAGCTGGGTGGGAGATTGGGACAATAAGCAAACAAAAGCTACATCTCAGGGCTCAGTTACCATGTGAAATATTAAAGTTCACGATAGCACAGTTAGAAAAGGACTGACTTGTTTGGCAGGCTTGCAAAGAGAAAGCCTGTTCTCTCTAAGAAGAGCATGGCAACATGGCTTAGATTTAGAAAAACTGCATCTGAACAAACCACAAGATGTCTGGAGCAATGTCCCTTGCACAGGCAGGACCATAGTAGAGATGCTTGGCGTAACCAAATGCAGCATATCAGGATAAACCTGGAATAGTTCTTTCATAGCTGAGCACTCAAAGAGCTTTATACAGCATTCCCCATTCACCTATTCTCACCACGGCCAGCATGCAGTATTTCATTGTTTCAGAATCTGTGAAAGGCCTTTTCTTCTTCGCCAAGAAGCAAACACGAAGGGAAGATGCTGCAGCTCTCTCTTGGGCTGTACAGGACCCTCACCATGGTAGTACAACTCCGGTTGTAAGATTATTAAACTCGGTAAAATGAATAAGTATTTGTCAGTCCAGGCAGGGTTAAACCGACAGTTTTCATTGTCAATTTTGCGCTTTTGGAGTGAGAAAGACATGCTGTTGTCGCATCATATATTACGATGATTGTTTAATATGTTTACATCACGGTGCATTGTGGGTTAAATATTGCTAGGCTACTAGGAGTGTTGCATTCACAGTCTACACTACGCTGTAGGAATTTTTAATTTTTTAAAAATTAATTAATGAATTCATTTTTTGCGTTTTCTCTGTGTTTCTGCCAGGACCACAGGCAGGGCCACTCGCAGGTTGCTTCTGGGCCGCATTTGGCCCGCGGGCCGCCATTTGAATAGGCTTGCTGTACAGCATACACTATGCTGTTAAGTTTCTGTTTAGGAAAACTCATAAATCACATGACAGGGTGGGGCTAGGTTTCACAATGAGTTCACCCGAAACCTTGGCTGATTGTGACCTACACTCGTTCTCACATCTTGGCTTGTGTGATTAGGTAGAGGTTCATTAGGTGGTCCTTTGTCCCTCTTGGTGGGTTACTCCCACAGAGCTTAAATCTGGGACTCTCCACCATTTCACTTTAGAACTGAAGAAGCTTCTCAGATGAGAGGTGAAAAGTCTTTAAGCAACTTAAAGAAGTCCAGACGCTTTTCTTTCCAAGCTCCTTATACCATGTTTGGATATATTTTTGCATGCTTTTATTTTGAAAGGTTTTTTTTAATGTCCTACCCCATCTTAATCAAAGAAATCATCACATGTGCTCACTCTTTGTAAAAGATGGGAGGTGATGGCAGCATGTGCAGAAGTGGCACAAGACAGCAGAGCTTCAACAGGAGCAACAGGATGGACAGGTCAGACCAGATGGATGGGGACTTGTCCTGGAATTGTTTGTGGAACTGGTGTCAGATGTGGTGGAGGACTTGGACCCAGTGGCTCATGCTATGCTCACACTCCTGGCTCCACAAAATTACCAACACAGCTTAAAATGAGAGCACTTGATTTTTCCGAGCTGACTCCAATAATTACTTCTTCCAAACCATCAACATGTCTATTAAACCCCATCCCTACAAGACTGCTCAAAGAAGTCATAGCATTAATTAATGGTATAACTCCTTTTTAAAATTTGATCAATTTATCTCTGTTAACAGGCTCCTTACTACAGGCATTTAACCCTTTTAAGCCCAACATAGAACCACCAGACCTCATCTTTAGATTTTTACATGCTGTAGTGCCATTTTTTTGAGCATTTCAAGATTCTATGCATCATTACAACTGTTATATCCTAAATCTTAATAATATGTATGCATTAAGTCCATAGTAACTAAATAAATTGCTAAAGAGTGCAATAAACTACAAAGAAATTGAAAATTGTTTTTGATTTTACACATTCTTCTACTCAAAATTGCAAATGCAAAAAAATGCACAGTGTCTTTAAATTTCATTTTTAAGATGCACTAATTTTTATTAACTGCAGCAAAACATGAAAATAGATATTATTGTGCACAATTTGCAAAAACAGCATGTGCATCAAAATAAACTATTTCCAACAGTGCAATCAAGCCTAGGCATCCCGGGAACAATAAAGAAAGAGGCACAAAGTCAAACATGACTTTCATTAGCAAATGAAATGAAAGTCAAACATGACTTTCATTTCCTGGAGAGGAAAAAAAGACAAACAACAAAAAAACTACCTTTCCCATGAAAATGATGTCACTTCCTTTTTTCGCAGGTAATGACAGACATGTGATTGTTTGTGCTGACAATGTGATGTTGTTTATTCCAATGTAGGAAGTGCTATGAACAGCCCGATCAGATTGACAGAGTATGTGTCTGGATCATAATGTTTTTATTGTTGCATGTGCTTTTTATGTAAAGCCATTAGTAGTTGGAAACTGCAGCTTGGGACAGGTTGAATTCATGATACAGTGGCTTGCAAAAGTATTCGGCCCCCTTGAACCTTCCCACATTTTGTCACATTACAGCCACAAACATGAATCAATTTTATTGGAATT